AGCATCGAGCGAAACGTGGACAATACAGGAGGGGAGGCTGCAGTGCTCGGCCCGCACACTCTTGGGACAAGAAGGCTCAGGGGCTCAGGAACCGCCTGATGGCTCCTGCGAGTGCGCACTGAGCGGGCAGAGAGAGGAAAGCCAGCGGGGGTGGGGAGCGCTTCTGCAGGCCTCCTGGAGGGGGTGCGCCGCAGCCAGGCCTCAGGAGTGAGGGCATGGCTCTGCCCCAGCCCACGGATGGAACTGCGTGGGCAAAGTCCCTGGGGCTGTCCCTTTTCCCTCCCTAACTCCACATGTGACCTGGCAATGAACTTCCAGCTCCACTTTAAATCTATCCGATACGTGACCACCTTTCCCTCTACTAACCCACCGCTGCTTCCACGCAGCTCCTACATCTATCCTCAGAGCAGCAGCCAGAGTGAGGTTCCTTTTAAAACATGTCAGACCTCGTTACTCCTCTGTCCAACCCTCTCTGAGGGCCCCATCCCACTCCCCACGAAAGCCAACGTCTTACCAAGCCCCGAGCAGCCTGCAGAAGCAGCCCCAGAACTCGGCACCCCCCTGCTGCCCGGCTCACGTGGTGCCAAGCACATGGGCCTCCCGGCCGCCTCGTGAGCTCCGCAGGCCGGCTGCCTCAGGCCCCGCACCTGCTGTTCACCCGCTGGGTCACTCTTCCCGCATATGTACGCACGGCTCACTTTTTTCAATTCTTTGTTCAAATATCACCTCCCCCGTGAAGGTTTCTCGGTTTCCTCATTTAAAGTCGCGCCCGCACTGCTGCCCCTTCCAGCTTTGCCCACCTGTCCCTGAAGGCAGAGGTGTGTATTTCATCCCCTGCAGTGTCTGCAATCCCCGAGACACTCACTGAGTATTTGTGTGAGTGGCGCAGGCCTGGCCCCTGTGGACACAGTCCTGGCAGGGGTTGTTTAGAGCTCCTTACCCCCAAAGGAGCAGCAAGCACCCGCCTCAGCCCCTGGGGGCACCGTCAGCCCCATCCCATCCCGCTCCCTGCCACCACCTGGCCCAGCACTCACCGTCCACTGGATTGAGGTAGTCGTGGAGATGGGGGGTGCCAGTGGCACCCCCCGTCTGCAGGAGCAGGTCCCCGTAGGACGTGGGGTGGCCCGCCATGAGGGCCACCTGGTGGTAATAGTCGGAGGGGTTGGTGCCTGCCGGGGGGAGGCCAAACAGCCCCCTCTCCTTGAGGTGCTCATGGACCACTGTGGGCAGAGAGGAGGGAGAAAGAAAGAAGCCATCAGAATCTGGCAAAGGAAGAAAAAAGAGTCCTACCACCTGGCCTGAGGAGTTCCCCTCAGTGTCCTGACGTCCATCCCTTGTCCTCTGAGCACCTGTGTGCCCCTCCCCTGGCCCCATGTCCGCACCGAGCAGGCCAAGCGGGTAGGCATGTTGCTGCCCATAGGGCGGGGAGGCCAGCCCGACCTCAGCTCTGCATTCCTCCACTTCACCAAAGCCATAACCCCACCCTCTCCTTCCCCTCCAAGCCCCGCAGAAGCCCACAGCTCAGGTCCACAGGGCCCGTGCTGCAGCCGAGGCTTCAGAGGAAAGATACAAACGAAGGTGCCAGGGCAGCAGACGGTGGGCTGCCTGGCAGTGCCACTGCGCATTCCAGGTGAGAGCGCAGCCGAGAGCTGCCGGGCCTGGCTAGATAGAGCCCCTCGCCTGCCACAGGCCACCAGCTCCCTGTCCAGCGGTTGCAGAGCGGGCTGTCTGCCTCCAGCCCTCTCGCAGCCCTGCCCGGGCCTTAGCAGAGACAAGATGGGCACACGTCAGTTCTCAGGGGGCCTGGCCCTCAGGGCTGTGGTGCCAGGGAAAGGATGGGAGGCTTGGAAACCACACATACTCAGGGCGAATCCTAGCTTGTACCAGGTCTGCAGAACTGGGGCAATAATGCCCACCACTCCAGGTCTTACTAATGATTGTAGCACAAGGCTGTGCGGAGTGCCCGCGGGTCTGTGCGGGTGCAGTGAGAGGGAGTCGGTCACTCTCTGATTTCACTGTTGCCACACCACAAGCAGGGTCGCCTTTACCTCCCTTAGCTCTTAGAGGGCCAGGGGTCCTGCCCAAGGTCACACAGCAGGCAGCTGGATCTAGAGCTCAAGTTCCCAACCACTGCGCCCATGCCCCTGCCATCAGTCCTGCAAATACCAGGGGAGACCTCCTGTGGCTGGAGAGAGAAGCTGGCAGCAGAAGAGGCTTCCTCCTCCCCCTTACCCCCCATCTTCTCTACCTCCTCCTCCTCCTCTTCCCTATCTGCTCTGTGTCCTCTAGAGAGAGCCTGGCCTCCAGCCCCGGCACTTCAAGGCCTCTGCCTGTCGTCCATGAAGGAAACGGCCTTGTCCCCTCGTTGCCTGCCCCCTCCTCCCTGAAGTCTTCCCCAGGTGCCCATTCACCCTCGGGCACACGCGGTCTGGCAGATGCTGCCTCGTGCCAGCAGGCGCCGGGCTGATGCTGCCCGGTGGCCGGAAAGGCTCCTCAGTCTCCTGGGGGCTGGGCCAGGGCCAGTGAGGCCTCAGGGGGTCTGGTCCACCGGAGGGGGCAGGGTCATGCAAAGTAGCCACAGCCTCTCTGCTGACCCATCGGGCTCTCATGGGTGCGGGATCGGTAAGCGGGGGTGGTAGGAGCCACCTCAACGTTTACATCAAAATCCGGCCTGAAGTCAGTGCTTGGTCAACTCCAGTCTCCCTTGAGGGCAGCCCGTCCCGCCACTGGCTCTTCACGGGCCACACGGCGGTCCCTGGCCCGTAGGTCCCCAGAGCATGCTCGGCTCCTGGCCCTCCTCTAGACACCCCACGCTCCCCTAGCCCCTCCCCCACAGTGAGTGTGCACTAGCTCCCAGGTGCTGTGACAAGTGAGCGAGCCTTGGCGTAAGCACTGCTAACACCAGTTTTACTCCCTCGCGGCCTGGAGGCCAGAAGCCCACAACCAGGTGCTGCAGCGCCCCCGCTCCGAGGCTGTAGGGCAGAATCACTCCTGGCTGCTCCAGCTTCTGGCTTCCTTGGCCTGTGCAACATCACTCCCATCTCTGTGTCTTCTCACCTGTGTGTCTTGTAACGACACCTGTCCTTGGATTTAGGCCTGAGTGGACCAGCCCGGATGATCTCATCTCAAAATTCCGGAGGAAACCACATCCACAGAGGCCCTCTCCCCAGCCAGGCCTGCTCTCGGGTTCAGGATGAGACCTGGCTTTCTCCCCTGGGGTACCACACAGCCGGCGACACCACATGTGAACATCAGGGCCTGCACCGTTATGCTCCAGCCGCCTGGCACGGGCCATCGGGAGAGGCGGGGCACCGCCCGCTGTCCACGAGGGGAGGCAGGCGCAGCACACGCCCCCTTCAGACACCTCAGCTCGGTCAAGGCCAGCCAGGACCACGCAGAACACAGGGCTGGGTTCTGACCCCGAGCAGCAGTGTCAGGGCCCGTGGCTGCAACCCTTTGCCTGGTGTGGTTTCTCTTC